CAACGCCACAGCCGCAGCTCGTCCATGTCCGCCTGGAAGCGCTCGTGCTCCTGGGCCACCTGCTCCAGCAGGTCCACTCGGTCCTGGGGAGGGGAGAGGGCCGCCATGAGGGAAGCCTGGCTGCCTGGCCTTGGGGCCTGCGTGTGTGCGCGTGTACGTGTGTGCATGTGCATGTGCGTACATGTGTGTGCATGTGTGTGCGCACGTGTGTGCGCGTGCATGTGCATGTAGGGGGTCTGGGATTCTGGGACATGTCAGCCCTTTTGCTGGAAATAAAGAAGTCCCAGACACCCTTCTCTATCTTTTTTTAAAATATATTTTTATTGATCTCAGAGAGGAAGGGAGAGGGAGAGAGAGAAACATCAATGATGAGAGAGAATCATTGATCGGCTCCCTTCTGCACACCCAACACTGGGGATCGAGCTCACAACCCGGACATGTGCCCTGACTGGGAATCTAACCGTGACCTCCTGGTTCATAGGTCAACACTCAACCACTGAGCCACACTGGCCGGGCTCTTTCTTCTCATCTTCTTAGACCCAAGCATTCGGGGCTGGGCCTGTCCCGGGAACAGCACTCAGTCAGGGGCCTGGTAATAGCACCTGCTGCCCCAGACACTCACCTGATGTCCCCGCGGCGCCAGAGCCGCTCCAGGAACAGCACGGACGGTATCAGCTCCCGAACCCTCCCAGCCACCCATCCCGGCAGTACTGCTAACCCAGTCCGACCGACAGGGAAACTGAGGCCCAGAGAGGTGAAAGGCTGTCCCAGGTCATTGCCTGCCAGGAAAGCACCGGGGGGCAAGCCCAGGCGGTCAGACTGGTCCTGGGGTTTCCGCCCATGACGATGGCGTGTGCCCCGTTTCCTCCCGAGGGTGGGGAGGGCAGTTCTACCTTCTGACAGTCCCACTGATGTTCAGCCCACATGGGGACAAGACGGTCATCTGAGGGAGACTGACCTTGGGGGAAAATAACCGTGTTCCTGACAGAAGGCCTACTGTGCGCCTAGGAACTCGGTTTTTCCAAATCACATCCCTGATCACGGCACCATCTCTTTAAACCACTTCCTGGCTCCCTCCTGCCCCCAGGCTCAGGTCCAAGTGCCACAGCCTGGAGGTCAAGGACAGATGCGGTCCCCACCCTGGGCTGGACTGGAACCCTGCGACTGGAACCCTGGCCGGCCTCGGGCCTCCCCATCGGTGTGGTGTGTTAACAGTACCTGCCTCACTGGGAGCCGTGGACTGAGTGTCAGAGCCGCAGCTCCCGCGAGCAGCACTGGTAGCCGTGAGCGCGAAGTGATGGAGCACTGCTGGCCGGCACCGCTGGCCTGCTCTGCGGGGCTACCCTGCAGCCCCCCTTCTCTGAAGAATCGCCCGCTGCCCGGGCTCAGTGAACAGCCTTCCCTGCTGTGGCTCCTGCTGGGGGACCGAGGCCCCCACAGACAGGCTGCCTTCGTTGGGTTAGCCCCGGGGCAGCTCAGGGCAGCCATGTGAACGCTTCCAAGCGGCAGGAAGAGTGCAGGGGGCGTGCCTGCAGTGGGGTTTTCCACGGGAGAGCGAGGGGGTTTCCATTTCAAAAGCAGTTAAAAGCACCTGAGCGCCGACCGGCCTGGGCAAGCACGCTCCTGAGTAACCTTCACCACAACCACCAAACCCGCCCTCACGCCGATGTCCAGCTGCGAGGTCACCCGGCTCGCGCAGGGCCTTGGAGCCAGGACTCACAGGGCCCGTGTCGGGCTCCCCGTCACAGCTCTAGACCAGGGGTTGGCCAACGGCAGACGGTTTGCTTCACCGCCCCGTGGTTTCTGTCGCAGCTACTCCACCTCCCAGGTGCTGCTCCTGCCCTAGCAGCTCAGAGCAGCCCCAGGCACCACACCAAGGTGGGGTGTCTTCTGGTAAAACAGAAATTTTTACTTCATATTTATACATGTCATGGAATATTCTGGTTTTTATTTTTCCCGCAATCATTCAAAAATGTAAAAACTGCCCTAACCGGTTTGGCTCAGTGGATAGAGCGTCGGCCTGCGGACTGAGGGGTCCCAGGTTCGATTCCGGTCGAGGGCATGTACCTTGGTTGCGGGCACATCTCCAGTGGGGGGTGTGCAGGAGGCAGCTGATCGATGTTTCTCTCTCATCGATGTTTCTAACTCTATCCCTCTCCCTTCCTCTCTGTAAAAAATCAATAAAATATATTTTTAAAAATGTAAAAACCGCTTTTCGCTCACAGGCCAGGCGAAATCAAGAGGTGGGCTGGATCCGGCCTGAGGGCCGCGGTTTGCCGAGCTGAGCTCTCAGCCAGGGGCCCGGCTGTGCCCAGCAGCAGGTACGGATCAAGGTCCGAAGTTCTCAGCTGGGAAGGGTGGACAGACAGACTCCAACGCTTTCCTGTTGCTGCACACGGCTTGAGAGGCTCCTTGTAAAGGCAGAAACACCGGTCCATTCCTTCAAACCTTCGCTACCACCATTGCAAGGAGAAAATGCCCCCATTTTAGAGACGGGGAAACTAGGCACAGGGCCACGCCTTCAGCGGAGAGCTGAGAACCCTCTAACGGAAGCCAGGCTCGCAGCTTCAACAGCTCACGTGCAGATGGGAACACGCTGCTCAAACCCCAAAGGGGACTAGGGACAGCCGCCCCTTCGCGCTGCCCTGCGGCTGCCCCTTCACGGGCCACCTGCCTCCACCAGGCCTCCTCCTCCCGCAGGCAAGGCTCGTTTATGAGACAAAGCGGGCCGGGAAGCACGTGCAGGGGGTCAGCGCGGGTCGGCTCTGACGGTTACAGAGGCTGTAATGAGGCAACTTCTCCAGTGAGCGTGCGGCTGGCTGGCTGGCATGTGCGTGTGTGCGTGTGTGTGTGTGTGTGTGTGTGTGTGTGTTTGATGAGGTGCTGGCACGCAGGACAGAGTAAATAAAGCCTCGGGGAGAGGCCCCGGACAGGACCGCGGCCAAGCAGGCAGCCATCCAGGCGAGCTCCGTGCCAGGCGGAGCGAGCAGCGAGCACGGTCCAGCCGCCGGGCCGCCACGGGGGAGGATGACAGGGCGACAAATGGGAGAGTGCGCAACCTTCGCTCGTTAGACCAAACAGCGAAGCCATCTGCGCCGGCAGAGTTGTCAGGGTGTCAAAACCCAACCAGCCAACCAGGGCGGCGCGGACGCAGCTGGGCACGGGCTGCGTGGACGGTGTGATCCCTGCCCAGATGCCGGACGAACGCCCCTGTGAGGCAGGAAGCAGGGGAAGAGGACACCGCCATGGCCCTGGCCCTTCAGGAAATGGAACCACCCAACTAAAACCCCTTGCGAAATAAACACACAAGACCCCACTGGCTACCAGCCTGCTCTCTCCTCGCTGAGGGCAGTGCTCCTGCTCACCCCCACACCCCGCGACCAGGCGTCCTCATCAAGAATCTCCCTCCAGCCCAGCCGGTGTAGGTCAACCACACACATTAAGCACCACCTGTGTATGCAGCACGGAGTGACACTGGGTGTACAGATGGTAGATAATGGGTCGATGGGTGGGTGGGTGGTGGAGGGATAGTTGGATGGGTAGACAGAAGATTGGCAGGTGGGTAGTTAGGTAGTGAGTGGGTAGATGGGTGACAGGTAGTGAGTGAGTAGGTAGGTGGGTGAAGGGGTCAACAGTGGTGGGTAGTCATAGTGGAGAGATGGATGGGTGAGTGGGTGGGTGAAGAGGTGGGCGGGTTGATGAGTAGGTGAATGAGTAGGTAGCTGGCTGGGAGGGGGAGTAAGTGGTTGTCAAGACGAATAGGAGATTAGTTAGGTTGGTGGTGAGCAGTGAGAAAAGAGATGTATGGGAGGGTGGGTACTTGCATAGATGGCTGGGCAGGCACGTGGAGGAATGAGGTGGTGAATGGGGGGACAGTGAAAGGGAGATTTGGCAGTGCAGTGGGGACATAAGTGGGCAAGTGGACAGGGAGGTGGAGAGATGCATGAATGCTGGTGGGTGGGTACTGGTGGGTGGGGAGTAGTGGGGAGTCTATGGGTGGCTGGATGGTCACTTAGCAAATGGTGGGGTAGACGAGATGGGAAAATGGCAGGAGGGTAGACAGCCCACTGCTCCCTCACCTGGGCTCTGGCCTTCACGGCCTCGTACTCGGCCTTCATCCTCTTCTGGGCATCCTCGTCCACGCTGGGGTCCCCGATCCTGTGGAACAGGGAGGCCGCCTCCTCCAGCAGCCGGTCCAGGAGCACGGCCTGGTGGCCCACGTCGTGCAGCAGCACCTGGGCCTGGCCCAGCTGCCACTGCTTCTCCTTCAGGCCCAGCTGCAGCTCCACGGGTGGCGCCAGCGCCACCGTCATCTTCTGGAACCAGCGGTAGAACTCGTCGCGGGCCAGGAGGTACTCGCTCCAGTGCAGCCACACCCACTCGATGCGGCTGTGGGCGG